TATTAATACTATTAATAATATTTAATTAATTATTAGTAATTACCAACTATTATTAATTTTTGATCACAATAGTCAATCTAAAAAGCAGTTGGCATTTTAAGGAACCGTTGTTTTTAAAACAAAAACTTAACTTTAAGATTTTTATTGGAATACAAAAATTTTAGAATCGGATCATCCTGTATATATACGTAATTGTATTTTATGCAACGAAATACTGTGATAAAGTGTGACGTCAAAATCGTCACAAAACAAAGTTTTATTACGGATTATATACCGCTAAAAATATAAATTTCTATTACCTAAACAATACATATATTGTAAAAGAAATACAAAGTTTATTTTTATGTTTTGGAACAGTATTTTCGCATAAACGTCAAATGTAAAATTGTTAATCTACTAAGTTATACTAGCATTTTGACAGTGTAAGAAATTATGTGTATACTAAAATTTTTAGATGTACGATTTGCTTTGTTCTTCTTTGGATCGGTTGACATTGTAAAAATTTAATTTGGATCGCATAACTTTGCAAAGTTTGCGTTTTACTTACAATGTGGATATCAGAAAAACTATGAAAAAAAAGTTTTTCTTAAAGCGGTATTTAAAGTATATACAATGAAAATATAATTTTTATATGAAAATCACAAAAAAAATTTTATAGAAAAATTAATAGAAAAATAAGTAGGAAAGAATAAACAAGAACTGCTATAAAATTTTTTTTTTTTAATTAGGTTTGTCAAGTTATTTAAAATCTTTTATTCAGAATTGCATATTTAATTATACATACATACATATAAGTATACTTAGCAAGAATTGAATATTTCACCATAATTTTTATGTATTTTATCATAATTCCTAAAATAATGTATGTATTATAATAGACAATATCTCTTCGACTAATACACGTACACTAGAGCAGCAAATCGACTGTTATGTGTGACATTAAATTAATAAGTTGAATAAGTATTATCAAATTACAATTTATTTAACTTGTAAACATTGTTTATCTTTCCGCTATATCTTAAGGTAGCTGAATTTAATATTATAATATTACTTACAATTTCATATATATACATATTATAATATAATTTTATGTTTTATTGTTTTGATACGAAATTAAAAGACGTTTTTTTATTTTTATTTATTCTAAATTTTATTTATTAAAACAGTTTTATGATCTTTTTAATTTCTCAAAATTCAATTATTCACAAGTTACACCTTGAAAAAAAAACAAGATTCATTTTTTAACAGAATGATCTTTTACTTTTTACTTCCTAAAACGAACTCTACTTTTTTATAATTTCATGATTGATAATTTTGATTCTTACTTAAACTTATTTCTAAAACGACAAACGTTACAACGACAAACGTTTTACAACAACAAATATCACGTTGGCCATTGACCTACTTATAATTACGAAATTTTAATTTAATTTTGTTGTTTTCAAATTTACTTACTAACTTAATGCGTTCTAATGTTTCAAGCAACTTGGTTGAGTTGGCACGTGCTTTGTGTTGTTAACATAACAATATGTGGTGGCTCTCAGCTCACCAATACACAGTGGTGAGCTGAGAAATTTCTATCAACCGGCTCGCAACCTTAATATCTGTAAATTCATAAACGAAATAATAAACAAAAAAGTGTTATTTTAAAATTGTATTCACATTGAATTTTATGCATTATTCAATATATGTATTGCCAAAAGCGAATTTTGTTCTCTGATTACCACGAAATAACATCCACAAATTACTTGTTAAGAGATCTGACAGATGTGAAATAGTACTACTTATTTTATCAGTTCATGTTACGTTAATCGAACTAACGGCTCTTTCAGCTTCTGTACTAAAAGTGTGATCTAAACTCTTCTTGAAAGTTTGGTCTAAGCTCTTTTTTTTCATTTGGATTGCATGAAATTTAGTAAAAATTCTACCTCTTACTTAAAATTTTTTGTTTTAAGTTTTTTATTTCCAATATCATATAAACAACCGGCTCGCAAATTGTTAGATAAATAAAAAAGCAGTTCGCACAAGCTGGATCGGGCTGACTCCAGCTCACCATGAATAAATTGAAAGGTTCATTATTTATCACAGATCGCTCTTTATTTTCGGTCACAGAATTAATTAATTTTCAATATAAAGCTCGTTAAAATTGGAATTTTTATTTTTGTTTTCAATTTTTTTTTAAAAAACTTAAAATTTTTCGAGGCTTTGAATTTTTTTTTTTGGATGCGCTACAATGAAAGCTAAAAGTAAACCCATATAACATTTCCTCCATCTCTGATAGTTTTCTCAGTAAAACGTGTTAGATACGCTTAAAAACATGCGAAATATAATATGTACATATACATTTTATACATTTTATACAAACATAACACACTAAATATTTTTAGTTTAATATGTTTAATAAGGAATTTGTACAATCTATATATTTTCTTAAAGTGTTTCAAAAAATGTGGTGCTACAGTATTAGAATGGCAGTTAAGTAAAATCGTTGTCGATGTTTGATAATTCAAATATGCGCTAAAGTTCTAACTGAAATTGTTTCTTTTGCGTCGTTGCAGATCTACAGAAAAATTTACCTTTTCAACCTGAAAAGGTAAATTTTGAACGTGTTTCCTTTTGCAGTAATGATTTATCGATCATACTACATCTGAAAATTTTGTATAGTTTATAGAAAATGCTAAATAAAAAAGACGTAATAATAACATACAACATTTGCAGATTGTGTATTAGTTTATAGAACAAAATGAAATATAATAATATATTATAGGTAACCTAGTAAACTAATATAAATAACAACAGTAAGTGTTACCTGTTGACATTACCTGACACTTGTCATCGTTTGACAATAATGACAAAGAAACTCTATCTAATGTAACTAGCAACACCATACGGCAGATATTGACAACGAGGTTCCTTCTACTAGGCGGTAGACGGCGCATTTCATGCACATCAAAGTAGATAGCTTCAGCAGGCTAATCACCTAGCTAAATAAACAAATACGATTCTCGAAACTGGAACACAACCTGAGATATCAAATGAAAATACAGTAAAGACCATTGGCTTGCAAAAAAGGACACGAATTGGAAATTGGAACATTAGAAAACATAAAGCAGCGTAAGATTGTTGTGGGTTAAAAAAGAAATCTCAAACTATGGGATTGAAATCCTTGGTATGAGTTAAATTAGGTGGCCTGGCTCTGGGGAACTATCAGAAGGGAATACACTAATGTACTGTTGTAATAAGAATAGTGAAAACGGAGTTGGAATATTAATATCAAATCGTCTAAAGAAACAGATTCTACACATACATCAGAAAAGTCACTGTAATTCAATGTTACGCAACCACAGAACTGGATAACGATAAATCTAAAAACGAATTCTATACATCACTAAAAACAGAACTAAGTAACGCGCTTAAAACGGACATAGATATTAGAAGCACGGTGCAGACGTGCATTCGGACCATATGTTTCTCAGGACAGATACTCGCCTAGGACCTACAGCAACAAGAAACGCCATTCGGAAATTCTCGAACAAATCCAAGAAGTCGAATCAGCAAATAAAAAATAGGGAAGGCCAGCCACTCACATTCACATAAGAACAACTGCAAAGGTGGCAGGAATATTGCGGGAAATTCAACAACGGGAATCGACATCGGCAAAAACAGCAACTACAAGAAAATGACAGCAGTAGCAGCAACACAATAAACCAGAATCCGCCGAGTAAAAGACAAAAAACTGATGCCATAATACATAAATTAAAAAACAATAAGGCGGAATGCCTTGTTGGAATACCAACAGAGCACAGAAAGTATACCAAAAACCTGGAAAAGTGGCATCATAATAAAATTACAAAAAAGGGTATAATAAATAACAGTAACATAGAGAACGTCTCCGAGTTCTGCTACATTGGTAGTATAGTCACTACTAACGGAGGTGCAGAGAGAGAAAACCAGACTCAGGCTTGCAAGAATGGCATTCGGAAGAATATTCGACGATGAGCTATATAAATAGGGTGCAGATAGGTGCCTACGCGGAATATTTTGGCCAAGTAATAATAATAAATAGTAACAACAACCAGCATACGCTCAGATCAGAAGGAAAAAATGGACCTGGATTGGCCACACTCTTCGAAGGCCAATTAGTAACGTCCCACGAAAAGGACTTGGATGGAATCCGCAGGGTAGACAGACCTAAAGAAACTTGACGCAAATCGCTTGAAAAAGACATAAGGGGCGCCCGAAAGACATAGTCCGAAATAAAAGAAGTAGCACAAAACAGAAGCTTTGTAAATGCTCTATGCTCCCAAACGGAAAAAAAGGGAAAAAAAGTTCGTAGAAAATGCTTAAAGATATAAGTTATAGGTGAACTTTCGAAACTCTCTTTACTTGGCAGAACTATCAGAAATGCAGTCGAAGTGTCACTTTTATTTTCTGCCGATTGCGTTTTTTGTTTAGTGATTCAATTGAAGATAAATGATGACGATATTGAATACGTTTCAGAAAAAGTTTGCATTATTCATTTAATTTTAATCTTAAAGCTATCATTTTAATTACCTGTTACAGGTTTGGAGAACAAAAACTTTTAGATGAAAAAAGATAAAATATTAATTGAAGGAATTTAACGAAGGGTTGAAAAGTTTTTTGCAAAAAAGCAAAATGAAATTTCATTTTTTTTAAAAAAATATTGGGTCAAGTCATCAATTATAATTTTACTATTTGGTTTTTGTGCCTACTTAAACATTTTCACATACATATTTTGTAATTTTCAGTATATTTTTATTAAAAATTGAAAATAAAAGATTTCCCATCCAAAAAACTGAAAAGCAGAATTTAAAAAGCTGAAAAATAGAAAAATTAATTTTTCACGTTTTTTTGTATGAAATTCTAAGTTTATAAAATAAATTCTGTATGTGGTAAAATACCAAAAAAAGGAACATCAAGTTTTCCAAAATTTTCTTTATACATATATTTTTGTTTTTTATGTCAATCACAATTTGTATAAAATATAATAAGAAGGAGCATATAAAATTCATATACATATATACGTGTAATATAATGACTTAAAATTTAAGTACAAAATTTTTTGGAATAACTTACATACATGCTTTCGAAATTATTTTCTTAAAAGTTTTTTACCTAGTAACTTACTCTAATAATAATGGATTATGACATGAGTAATGAATTATAAAATAAAGATTATAGGATGGATTTATTGCTTGCTTAGTTTAAATATAAAATCCTTTGAAAGGATGTTTTTCAATAGTCTTTTATTTTTTATATAAATTTTAATCTGCACATGCGTTTAGGGCATCCCAAAATGGGTAAAATTTTTATTTCGAACAAGGTATCAAATCTCAACGATTTTCAAAATTTCTACTTGGTCAGGTTTCTTTGCTTTTCAATAGGGCTTGAAATTTAACATACCCTCAGAAATCATAAGATTTTGTATTTAATGTGGTTTCAGAATACCAAACATTATAATTTTAGACCAAAATCAATTCTTTTTATTTTGTTAGTTTTCTCTAATTTGACAATTTTTTAAAATTGTTTTTACATGATTTTATCCACTTGCTCAGTTTTAATTTAAGCCATAAAACGTTATCTTGTTTGGTAAAGATATATATAAATATAGCATAAAACCATTTGTATTCCAAGATTTTAAACGCCTTAATGTATTGTATAAAATTAGTAATTCAGTACTTTTTAGTTATTTTAAATGCTATGATTCTAAATTATTATTAATTTTTGATTAAAATAGTCATTATAAAAAGGAGTCGACGTTTTTAAAGGACCGTTATTCTTAAAAAAAAAATTAGTTTTATATTTTCCTTTTTGGGACTAGCAAGTTCCTTATATTTGATTCCATCCATCTTATTACGCTCCTGGAATCACTGAATGGGTTAAGCTATTGTGCATTTGTTGGAAAAGAGTAAAACTAATTCCATGTTTATCTATCAGGTCATCAGGTTGAAGTTATTTTCCGAAATATTACGAGCAGAAGCAATTTCTTAACGTTTTATGTTTTCGAAGTGCTTCGCTTGATATTTTTTTTTGTTTGTGAGATTTTTGGGTATGATTTAGTATGTTTTTAAAAACAATTTAGATTAAAATAATTATTTTTTTGTTGAATGTTGAATCATTAGAGCTAAAAATATTAATAAATTTCATTAACACAAATAACTCACGACATAGCTTGTATATAAATATGAAGTTTACATTATTTTAGTTAAATTTGGAATAAATTTTTGATTTACTCCGTGACCATAGTTGCCTGATAGATATATGAAATTTATGTACATATTTCAATAAAAATCTTAAAATTAATCTTTCTTTTCAGAATAACGGTTCCTAAAAATGTCACCTATTTTGAAGAATGATTTGTCGATCAAAAATTAATAATAGATATAGAACTTAAAATTAACAAAAATCAAAAATAGGGACAATTTTTCAGTGTATACATTTCATTAAAACCTTGCAACACAAATGGTTTTTTTTTACATTACTACAAAAGATTTTTTAACATTTTTTGACTAATTAAAATTTAAAAAACTGGACAAAAAATGTGCAAAAAAAAAACTTACAAATTTTCCCCTTTTTTTAGTTTAAGAAAACTAATAAAATAAGAAAGGGAAAAAACTTGAAAAATTGAAAACAAAATACAATATTGATTTGAGTCTTTTTAAAAATTCTTTATTTGAAGCTTCTATCTCGATAAAATTTGATAAAATTGCTTTATTTCGAAAACCGTTGAGATTTGACAGCTAATCCCAAACAGATATTTTAGCAATTTCGATGCTCTAAATGCAGGAACATGTCAAAGCACTGATTACTGAATCACTGTATAAAAATGATTTGTTAGAAAGCCTAAATTTATTTATATCATGTAAATTCATAATATATTGATAATATTAATTATCCTCCAGAGTATTTTTATAATTAATAATACTATTTTATTTTTCATATTAAATAGAAACATTGAAAATAATTTCACTCTTGACTTAACTAAAAAAGTGTCAACTAATAACTACCATTTAAAAAAGTGAATATATGTTGACCATTTTCAATCTCAAATTTAAAATACAAAAGAACTAAATAATAATATTCATTATTCATTTGTAACAAAAATTAATCACAACAACTTATGTCATAATTTATTTTTACGCAAATATTTATTTTTATTTACCTCAATTCCAAATTTTAAAATATTTGTGAAAGCTATTTGAACTACAAGAATTTCCATAACTATATTTGAATGAAAGGGTATTAAGGTAATTTACATACAAATAGCCATTTTAAAGGTGTTTAAAAGGTTGGAGGAAATTCTAATTAGATATATACAGTGGGTCTCAGAGGTATTCGTACAGTAACCAAATTTTGAAAAAAACTTAATAAAAAAACAAATGTGATTCGAAATTCATAATTCTGCTAAACCAGATTATTTCATTTTTTATACTAGTTACTGAAAATAGCAAAAAATTCCATTACACAAACCAAATTGTAAGGAAAAATCATTTCCAAAATTATATTGCAAAAATTTAAGTCAGTCATATTCGTACAGTTATGTAAAGACGTAATTATGGATCAAAATATATTCATATTTTAAGAGCTAACTTAAAAGATAGTGCCGAAAGCTTGGTAATCAAAGATTGTTTTAAATTTTACCAAGACAATGATCCCAAGCATACTGACTGCAGAACTGATCATGGATACTTTATAACTGTCCTAAAGTACTGTATACACCTCCACGAATTTGTGGAATGAGTTCGATAAACGAGCTCGAAAATACCAAATTAGTAGCATTAATACCCTAAAAGCGAGTTTAATTGAAGAATGGGCTCAGATAACTTCTGAACTCACAAAAACACTGATTTTTTTATCTATAAAAAAAAGGAAATTCACTTGTTTAATAATATTTTTAAAATTTGGTTATTGTACGAATACGACTGAGACCAGCTGTATGTATAAACAAATAAATAATCAGTTAATATATCTAGATTGTTTGGAAAGTTAGTTTCTTATTTACTGTTTTAATATGTTTAAAAAAAAATTAAAAAAATACAGTAAATTCTTTATTTATTTTACTGGTTATGATTTGCTGCATTATTTTGTAATGTTTCCAAAGGAATTTTCGTTATAACTAGATTTGTGCATGTATGATTTGTGACCTCTCCTATAGATGGCATGCCATGTGAAGAGTTCGAATGATGCTGATGTGTTATATTTGTTTCTGCTACACCCCGTACACTTTTTAAACTCCAAATTCGTTTTATTGCTGACCAAACCTAAATTATAAAAAAATGTGTTAAAAAAGAGAAGATAATTAAAATTAAATAATTTGGTTAAATTGCAAACAGAAGAAATAAAATTTAAAAAATTTAATAGAAAAATAAATGAAATATCATAAAAATGTTTAAAAATTTTCAATTTCGTAAAATGAAAGTACTTTTGCTCTCGTTATTTTTGTATCAATTATAAAAATCCATTTTTGTACATCTTAATTTTAATTGTACATCTAAATTTTAACCGAAAGTGGAAAAAGAATTCATAAATCTAATATAAGAAAAATGGGACAAGCCAAAATTCAAGAAGGAAGCTTCAGAATAATACATATCACGGAACTGGAGGAATTACAACAAGCAACAGAAGAAATTGATCTTGCAGTAAAAACTTATGTCACCGAAAAACATCCCTTATATCCGTATCTCAGTCATGAAATTTCTCAGTTAAAAGAATATTTGAATGAAATAAAACCCAAACGTGAGAGACGAGCAATAAATTTCTTAGGTACTACTTGGAAATGGCTCGCTGGTACTCCCGACCATGACGATTTTGTTATGATAAAAAAGAAAATTAATAACATTCTAGAGAACAATAATCGACAGACAATAATAAATAATCTTTACAATGATAGGCTAAATCTTTTATCAAATATAAGTAATCAAATTTTAGAAACTATAAAAGACAATAATATCCTTAGTGATCAGGTTGCACTTAAGTTACAATATAAAATAAAAATTCTAAAAGAAGAAATAATTAATATTAAATATGGTATTCATTGGGCTAAATTAGGCATAATAAATTCAATTTTTCAAAAATAGAAGTCGAAACTATTTCCAAAATATTAGAATCAGAACAGCTCCCTTTTGCAACAGCAGAAGAAGCTTTAGATTTTTCCAAAGTAAAAATAGTTACAAATGGTACTTGCTTACTTTATGTTATAGAAATTCCATTAACAAAAATTGAAACTTATAACAAAATTTTAATCAAACCAATAAAAATTCAAAATGTAATAAATCAATTAGAATTCGAACAAATTTTAACTAATGACAAAGAAATGTATGGTATCGCAATAGATTGTAATGTAATAAGATCTTTAACAATTTGTAATAAAAACAATATTGTAAATTTAGAAAACTCCGCTTGCATAAAACGTTTATTTGAAAGCAAAAATTCCACTTGTAACATTATCAACAATCAACACATACCAACCATTGAAGAAATTGACCAAGGGATAATATTCTTAAATCAGTATAAAGGTGAAGTTTTCATTAATAACGAAGTACGAAATCTTTCCGGTACTTATCTTATCAAGTTTCATAATACAACAATTTCAATAATGGGTAAAAATTTTACTTCCAAAGAAACCAAATCGATACAAATACTACCTCCTATTCTACAACCAAAATCAATCCAAAAGGATATTTATGAACATTTGTCACTTGAACTCTTAAAAGAAATTCATATAAATAATACCAAACAAATAGAACTTTTAAAACAGGAAAACGAATGGAATCAAACAATCAACTTTTGGTCTATATCAGTAATTATTATCATTCTAACTATCATAATCATCAGTGTATTATTTAAAAAACGACGTACCATGAAAATCAATAACATCTCTAAAAATGAAACAACTAAACCAGTTGGCAACCCAGAAACTGTAATGCATCCGCAAATCATACTTCGACTACAACCTGAAACATCAAATGAGGACATTTGAATTTGAAGGTGGAGGAGTTAACAACCAATACAAACTTCAACACGCATTTCTCAAGTACCCACTTCAAAATGCATTTCTTCTAATTAACCAAATGTAAACATATCCACAATAAGTATTTCGAAATAAACAAAATCAACAGTATCAGCTTAAAAATAAACGTTTTCCATAAAATAACAAAAATCTTAAATTACAATTACGCAATGCATATTATTTGTTTGCCACATTGTAACAAAATTAATTTCTTTAAATTTTTATAATTGCTGATAAAGCATCACGCGTAAACAAAACGGAAACATAATGCAAGCGAGGTTTTCATTCTTTTTCAAATCAGAAAATATTTGAAATTTTGTAAATGATTATTCTTCTGAAAGTCAAACAATAAAGTTGAATTTTTTAAGAAAAAAATTTTAAATCTTTTTATTTAAAAATCTAACTAACTGTTAGATTAACTTATATATTCTTGCTCAGCGTAAAATTCTGCGTTGATTTATACATGTCCGTCCGTCCGTCCGTCCGATCGCACGATAACTCAAAAACGAATAATGCAATCGATACCAAACTTTCACAAGATGTTTCTTTTGTACTAAGGTAATTGGGCTAATTCTCATATTTCATACAACTCAAGGAGTTTATTTTAAATATTTCAAAAACTAATAAAGATATAAATATAAAATTTTGTATACATGTGTCCAATTATATTCTACACATGCTCTAAATGGATAATCGCTGGTTCGTGTGGTTGCCATACAACTCGAAAAGCAAATGTTATATATTCGGAAATATAATAAACTCAGATTCATGGAACTTGGCAGTCATGTGTCCGATTATAGGTCAAATGTATTTCTGAAGGTTTGGTTGAATTGCTTGACAGGTTCGAGTAGCTCCCATACAAGACTAGAAGCTTATTTTAAATACTTGGAAAAATAATAAAGTCAGATTCATGTGATTTGGCAGTTGTGTGTCCAATTATACGTCAGACATATTTCTGAAGTTTTGGGTGAATTGCTTGACAAGTTCGAGTAGCTCCCATACAAGTCTAAAAGCTTCTTTTAAATAATTGGAAAAATAATGAAGTCATATTCATGTGACTTGGCAGTTGTGTGTCCAATTATAGGTCAGACATATTTCTGAAGATTTGGTGGAATTGCTTGACAGGTTCGAGTAGCTTCCATACAAGTCCAAAAGCTTATTCTAAATATTTGGAAAAATAATAAAGTCAGATTCATGAGACTTGGCAGTTATTTGTCGAATTATAGATCAGATATATTTGTGAAGCTTTAATTGAATTGCTTGACAGGTTCGGGTACCTGCCATACAACTCGAAAAGCTAATTTTGAATATTTGGAAAAATAATAAAGTCAGCTTCATGAAACTTGGCAGTTGTGTGTCGAGTTGTAGGTCAGATATATTTCTGAAGTTTTGGTGAATTTCCTTGATAGGTTCGAGTAGCTCCTATACAAGTCCTAAAGCTTATTTTAAATATTTGGAAAACCGACTCATATGACATTTTCCTCTATCTCTCGCACATATGACAGTAGAACGTATTAAATGTGTTTAAAAACATATTTCATACATTTCATAAGTCCGATTGCACGTATTGAAAATTTTAATGGAATGGCTGAACTGGTTCGAGTAGCTGCCATGGAACTCCAAAAGCTAATATACAATATTCAAAAAAACCGACAAAGTCAGTTTCATGAAACTTAACAGTCGTTTGTACAATTATAGGTCAAACATATCCATGAAGTTTCTATAGAGTAGTTTGACAGGATCGAGGAATTGTTATACAAAAATGAAAGCTAGTTCTAGACATTTCAAGAACAAATTTTTTGTCAAGGTTTGTCAAGGTACAGGTCGGTTTATATCGACTGAAACAATTTTACTTGTTTATTTTTTACTTAGGATTACCTAAATGTATAATTTATGTTATATAACTAAAGTATGTAATTTGTAGATATACTCGTTTTCGAGCTACAGCCTGTTAAAAAAATCTCTCCTATATTTTTCTTTCATATAAAAAAATGCTAATAAATTCGGAGTCGTGCAACATAGCGTAACCATAACGACTTGCTTTAAAGATAATTGATAGATGTTTATTTTTGTTTTCACAATCAATTATATCTGACCTTTATTTTTGGAGGAAAAACCTATGCAAAGTGAGAGTTTTGGATTTTCTTTATTTAAAAAAAAAAGCAAATTTTCTCGAAATTTTTGTTTTTTTTTTCGATGTGGTACAATCAGGCCCGGATTTATCATACATGCAAAGTATGCATTTGCAATGGGCGATAAAAAATAGGGGCGCCATTGAAAACTTAAAAAACCCCTAAATTTAAAACAAAAAAATTTTCACCCAAAAAAAGGATTCCAAATTTTTTTTTATACATCAATTTATAGCGAAATTAGCTTAATAAAATCTACCTACATGCAAACATAATATTTTGTTCCTACACATATTTTCTATTTGTACCATATAACAAAAAATGTTCATAGAATTAAAATTACACATACATTTCTTTACTCTACACTACTCTTTCATTCTTATTTTTTATACGAATGCAGAACATATTTTTTTGAATGATATGAATCATCAGATTACAATTATTAATATTATTACTTTTATATACATTATAGAATGAATTTGTATATGCCTATAAACACAGAATATTATTTCACACAGCTGTATACATTCAATCGTTCATATATATAAGTGAAATCGTCTCATATAATATACATACATATATAGAAGCAATGTACGCAACAAATAAAAATGTTCAAAAATACACATGTACACATAATTTATATTGTTTAATATGAATAAGATCAACACTCATGCGTACACATATAATTATCTCATAAAGCAAAATTTTTATTTTGCTGAGATTGCTCCCTATCAACACTCGCTCGTACACATATAATTATATCACAAAGCAAAATTTTTATTATGCTTAGTGATCTCCCTGGCTACACTCGTTCGTACACATTATATTTAAATTGTTTCATATATGCAAAATTTTATTTATGCTTAGTTGTCGCCCACTCGCCAAACAAACAAACACATTATTATAATGTATTACGTTTTCTGTATACTATTGATTAGTAAACAACAAGAACAAAAAAAAAAAAAACAAAAATTAAGAATGAGAATAGAAAGAAATTAGAACAAGTAAAAACGTTTCAGTCGGTATAAAGCGATTGAATTATACCCTGCACCTTTCGTTGTTGTATAGCAATTACTCAAACCTGTGAAATCATTCTATAGAAACTTCACGGACATGTCTGACC